TTCTTTTTTTGGTAATTTGATTCATTTTCTTATTGATTGTTGACAAAATTTTTGGTGGAAACAGTGTCAGGCAGCGTAAACCAGCGCTGTTCAACATTGTTTTCTCCTTATCCAAATAAAAACAAATGATCTTTAATGTTTTACTTGTGAAAGAATTGTTTTTCTATTTATAAGAGACAAACATAAGCACCGATATCTTGACGGATTTACATGGGGCAGAAGGAAGTTGCTGAGACAACTTCCTTATTAATATCATCAACTGACCTCTCCATGCGGAGACAGAATAGGCGTTCACTCGCGCACATGATGAGGGGTATCCAAGAGAGGAGAAACATGTGCCTACAAACTTATACGCATTTGTTGGAAGTCGGTAATACGCATGAAAAGACGGTCTTTAATTATCTCTTATAGAACTTGTTCAATTTTAGCTATCAAAAAAGCACGTACTGAAAGTCGACCAACTTTTTGTAATCTCAGTGCGGTGTGGCAACGTTGCGACCAATAGTGCCTACGAGTCGCAGACTGTGAGCACATGCTGCTGCACTTAGCTATTGATTTCACAAAATAGGCGCCAACCCGCCGTAGATGTGTGCGGTTGCGATAATCGACTAATCTGAGAAATATCAGGCGGCCCGCCATTTTGGAAAATGACAAGGTCTTCAACATGGTGTAATTAAAACTAGGTTATTTGTATTCTCCCTGTTTGTTTAGAAAATCAGAAATATCTCGGGTAGTGCAAGTCAAAAAAATTAACTAATCATTTTCAATTCCGATATATTTTTCTGTGCCATATAGGTTTCCTAGAGGTTCTTTATCCAAAAGTCTCGCGTTTCTACGCTCTTGTCTCTCTGAAAGCTTAAATCTATAAAAATCGTATGCTTCCTCTCAGTTGTCAATTCTACTTTCGTTTAGGCTCGATACTGATAAAATTGTCAAGATGGGAAATGTCCTCCTCTTCTCCACCTGTGTGGAGCTTACAATACGAAAAGTTGCATCAAATGGTGATTGTGGCAGAAGCTACTGTAGGATGTCACTGTGAGCGATCTATAGCTCCACGATACGAGCGACGGAAGTCACACTACACAAGCGACAGAAGTCGGTTGCTCTGAATAATGCTTATTGTTGTGATTCATCTTGGACTTTTTTTGGAGATCCATAACGTTTCCGATCCAGGGTGCGATCCCCTCTACACTTTTCAAATGGTGAATAGGGGATCTCACAGCTTTTGCCCTCCATTTGTTCTTTTAAGCAAACGCTGAGCACTCTGTTAGTTTTTCTTATGTGTACCGCATTGCAGTCAATGGTTTCAAATTGGGACACCATTCCCACATCTGCGCAATCACCTACTTATCATGCGGCTATATCATGGCGTATAGTTGTACTAAAAAAGTATTGGCTCTCTGTGGAAGGAAGTGTTGTCAGAGTTGGTAGCAACCTAACCCGCATGTATGGTAGCATCAAGCTGTCTTCGTATTTGCAGTTCTAGTAGCGAGTTGGCAGCTCTAGGTGACAAATAATAAAAGCTTACACCAGTATAGAGAGTCGTCTAGGAGCTGAGAATGATGGGATTCATGCGAATGAGCACGTAAAGCAGCTACCATGAAGATTAGTACTCATATGCATTTTCATTCAAAGTATCGCATAAATCTCTCTAGTAAAATGTTTGATTGAATGTACAATATGCATTCAGAACAACAATTGAAACTAGAGATTCATTCAGGTTATTTTTGTTATAATAGATATAAATCATAAAGAAACTCAAAAGATAGATTAGCGGGCTATGAGTAAACTGTCATCAACACGATAGACGATTTCTTTTTAGAAACATTGGAAAAAGATTATATTGGGCATACTAGAGAGATCAACGTATAACTGGAAGCAATAGAATCGAAGAAACAACTTGAAATATTGAAGCATCAATTGCTAGGGATAGTTAGTTTTGTGACAAAGGCCAAAAAATATTTCAAGCCGTACCTATGCCGTGTTCTGGACGTTGCTGACACTACTGAAAGGTAGGACCCGTAATAATATCGCACAATTGCGCTGTGCTATTCTTATCGGCATAAGTGGCATTTCAAACCTCGTGCAGAGATCGCTCCATTGTCGCGAACATGTCCTCAGTTTCAGGATTTCATACTCGTGCCATGGTGCTAAACTGTACCGATCTGACGAATGGAACTCATAGGAGTAATAAGAACACCATACCAAAGGATTCTGGCAGACGATGCCACAGTATGCACCCCAGCAGTTCCCAACACGCGAGATAGTTTACTATATAGTTGAGATCGAATATTCGTGTCAAATAAAATATCCAAACATTTTGAGTATTCATTGTTCGAATATTCGAAGAAGCCTATCTATTCAATTTTTCGAAT